TGAAATGGCCCAAACGTTGTGAGAGTGATATTGGTTGGCCGTGGGAGTCGCGAGAGATGGGATTATGGCAGTCAATGCCGGGTTTGCACGCCAAAATTCGGGTTTTGGGTTGGGCGCAAATCTGGACCCTCACTTCAAAATTCTCTGAGGCGATGAGGAGAGGTGGTGAGAGCTTGAAAGTTGGCATGGGGGTAGTTTCACATGTTATCTACATACAGATGGAGTTTGAGTGTCATACCTCCCCTCCCTCTCCCGCTGCGTGTCCCTGAAAATCTTCAGAACGCCAGGTGCGAAACAGGTAGAGCTGGATGTGGATGTCCGAAAGCAAACAAAATTACTGGGCTTGTAATGTTCATTTGCGCTATCGAATGATATCACTTTGAGTGCAATTCGTCCTCATACTTCTGTGCTACGGGCCTTGCGCGTCTCGCGAAGCACCTCCTCCCGCACCATAACACGAATAGCAGGGGGCGTGGGGGGTTGAAAGAAAATGTAAATAGATAATTCGCAAGATATAATGCACCTCTACCTCCTCCCACCTTTACTTTCTACGAAAGTGTAACTTCACACATCTTTGAAAATTTTGAAATCCACCGTGCAGGGGCAGGATTACATTTCCGAAACCAAAAAACAGTGCAGCGTGTCATTAGTACTACTAATGCATACAAACCACCCCCTCATGAAGAATTTCGTCCTCGAAATCTTGAATAATCGTCGCGGCAAGTGTCTCCACCTCCCTCCAAACCACTCATATCGTCAATAGCGTGGTGTGGAAGGGGTCCGAAGGGAAGTTGAGAGGGTGTATATGTTGCTGAGAGTGTGTTTTACTTTCGCCTTTATTTTATTTACACATCATCTCTTCCGATAACCTCTCACCCCCTACGCTGTACCAAATATACACTACACACCCTACCCATATAACGACACTTAAACATGCAATCGATAATTACATCATATCATATACCACCCTCTGGCTATTCATCAATGTCATTTTTGTTACATTTCAATGAGTCCTGCGCGTGCAACAATTCTTACCCCTCCTCACTAGCGCGCGCTTCAGAATTTCAAGTCCCCGCCCACTTCACAATTAATTTCCAACCTCGCCCTATTAATTTTCAAGCGTACTACCTTCTCTACCAAAATTACACAAATTACACATCCCATAGTATATACTGCTATACTAAAAATTCTAAAAACCCATCTCCCCTCCATAATACCAAAAATCATTTCACACAAAAAAAATTATCATTCAAACCACAGCACCAGGGATTCCCATGTGGTCCCCCACCATGGTACTAACCAGGCGGCATCTTGGTTAACTTCGCAGATCGGACGGGATGCGGTGCTTTCAAGATCCTATGGCCATGAAGGCGTCTCTCCCTTCTTTGTATGGGTAATTTGGGAGATTTTAAATTTCTGAATGTTTATGAAGGGGATCCCCTTGTCTGGCTAAATCCGCCCTTATAATTAGGCGATCGGGCTAGATAATATGATGCGCGCGTGCTTACAAATTTCCGTCATGGCGGAAATTATCGAGATGCGCAGCTCCTTTATAAATTCAGATAGAGGGTGAGGTGGCCGAGGAAAGTGCTCTAAACTATCTATGACTTTCAATGTATCATACTATTGCTTTATATGTTCGCTTATTTACTCCACGTCAGCCTATCGCTGCCACTTGTCAGCTTTGAGTCCCCAAAGCTAGCGCCCTTCAATACTACTAGGGCTTACTAATGGGGGCACTCTATAGGGAGCTGCTACTATCTGTTCCATATTGCAGCAATTCCCTTCAAGTTTATGCGCAGCACATCAAGTAAGGAGTACTTGTATAACACCGCCAGCATCTCGCACCCCTCAATTCACCGACCATCAAGTCACCGACCGACCATCAAGTCGCAACCCTTCAAGCTCCTCAACACACCCTCATAACAAATAGGCTAAAACCCTCTATTATCCCCGCCAGCATACGCCGCCCGTAAGGTTAGGTTTCGCGCGTTGTCGCGGCATATCCAAGTTGCAATATAGGCCATTTTCAATCCTTTCCATTATTCTCACTTTCCTCACTATTCTTATCATCTATCAATTCTTCCAATCCTTCTTCTTTGGCCCTTCTCACCGCCCATCCATCCAATCTACCCCTCTCATCTCCAATCAAGGCGGATAGCCGCCTTGACCACGGCATCACCACTCCAGGCCCCTTCATAACGGCCTGGGTGGCCTCTACTCAAGCACAATTAGCCTCCACTGCAGCAGTAGTCAGTTGGCATATACCAACCACCGCCACAGCTCAGCATCCACGCCTTGAGCAGTGCCGTACGGCTAGCAGTGTGCACTACCAACTCACTAGACTAACCTTGGTAGTATGCACCTGCATCATAGCCCTCCCCTTTCCTCTATATACCACTCGGATTTTCTCTCCCCCAATTCCCTAACTTGAGGAATTATAGTACTCATAATTCAATTCCCAGTCCTCTATTTACCCGCTGCATGCCTCCTCTTCCCACAGTAATGACCTTGGCATGGTCGCAATTGCACCTCCCTCATAGAACATAGGGCATCGATATGGCCCAAACTTTGTGAGAGTGATTTGGATTCGCAGAAGGAGTCGCGAAGACTCAGTCTATGGCAGTCAACGCCGGGTTTGCAAGCCAAAATTTGGGTTTTGGGTCGGGCGGCCTGTAGACCCTGCCATTTTAAAAAATTCTTGAGAGGTGAATACTGTATTTGAGCGCGCAAGATCTGAGCTGGATTATCGAATGCACGTATTTCACATCATGACGGAATCTGGGTATATTATCAGCTCTACGGCGTCTCCTACGGCCTCTTAAGTCTCCCTCTGGACCCTCCCTGATTTCAGAAAATCACCTGTGGAAGGCCCATTTTGGAAGTTTGAAAGAAAACAAAATTTATTGGCAGCTAAATATCATGCGGGCTATCTAGTGACACTGCTTTGAGCAAGATCCGTCCTCGTAACGCTAAATTTCATGCGGACTATCTAGTGACACTGCTCTGAGCAAGATCCGTCCTCGTAATTATGAGCTACGACAGCTGCGCGTCTCACGTGACGTCACGTGCGTGGTGATATCTCGAATATTTCGGGGGGAGAGGATAAATTTACAATTTTTAATACACATACATGCTTATATTTGCTCATTATACCCATAAATTGCATAAGTACTCCAAACATCATTGATATGAAATCGCTGCAAATTTTGCTTTGCCACCATAGAAGGGCAATTATGTAGTGCCGAAAGCAAATAAAGGTGCTTCGCTATAGTTTGAACGTTTTTCTAAAATCTCATGGCATCTAATAGAAAAGTCGTCCACGAAGTATTGAGTAATCGTCAATTGCGTTCGACGACTACTAACACCAGTAGAGGCTATATCACCCTCAAGCTGGTATGCGCTATTCTATCACAGCGAGAGTCTGAATAGTGCTATGAAACATGTATTCAAATATAACTAGATGCATTGATTGTATGAATACCGGAGGTGGCGCCCTCAACAACAACTAACGTGTGCTCTGAAAATGTTGAAGTGGCACCCCAGCCACATCTACTTGACGTGAAAGCAACAAAAGCCACACATAGCTTTTACATCACAATCAAACACCACATGCAAGATTGCAATGATTAACAGAGCGATATGATTGATATATTAGCATTTCACACTTCCCTGTTCTCAGAGTCTGATTGCGCCTCTCTATCGAGACTTAAAGGGAGCATAGCAGGCCAAAGAGATTCTAATACGCAGGTAATTATTGTTTTAATCTACTGACGCGTTCTTGGCTCATTCAGACGCGTTATGCTGATATTGATCGCCTAAATTCATCAGCTTAGGTCGCAAGGAGCATTGAAAGAACATCTAGCCAATTAATAGCATTACAACGATAAAATAAGCCCGCTTAGCAGCTTTTTCTTCTAGTCTGCAAGTTAAAAAGTACGATAGTGAAATCAGAAGTCAGAGCATGAGGCGATATGGCATAGAACAAGACTTTCGAGCAACGCGTATATTTCAAAATACAAAAATTGGCTGCTGTTTTAGGTTATGTCTTGTCTTGTGAGGGGATGACTCCGAGTGACTGCTGGTCCTATGTAGATGAGGAGGAAACAGCGCGAACAGGAAAAGAGCTTGGGAAACAGACTTAAAATTCGTTTGAAAGGTTTATGCGCTTG